TATAGGTTTTTTTTTTTTTTTTTGGTAAACTCCACAATCCTATATGGAGCTTTTATCCTCATGTCAAACTCCCTCATAAATATATAAAAATATATTTCCTGAAGATATACTTCCTCAGGATCAAAATGAAAAAAACTAGTCCAAGAGTAATATCAAACACTTGGTGACAAAGAACTGAAACATCTCCAATGCATCTTTCCACTTCTCAAAAACAAAATATGGAAAAGAAGAAGGAAAAAAAAAACACCACCGCTTCTGAAGCTCATTGCTAGCACATACACCCTCTCTTTAAATAAATTTTTTCTTTTCTTAGTAATTTACTGCATTGTGTACATGATGAACATTGAAAAATTCTAAATGTCATTACAGAATGCAGTATACAGGATCTTTTAAATCCATTATAGTAAGCTCTTGAAATAATGTACTGTATATTAAATGTTAAAATAACTTGTTATGCAAGTTAATAACACACACAAAAAGTAATTAAGCTAACATACATCATAAAATTATTTATGACAAAATTTGGTAATATAAAGAGGTCTAAGGATGTATTTTGAAAAATCTAATTTAAAATATTTAGACATATCTAATAATAAAATACTTCTTATGTGAGAATTAAATAATAAATCATCTACAAACCATTTCTTTTCCAAATTTTTCCAAAAACTATGCTTTATTAATTACTGTATTAAAAACTACAGATGGTAACACACAAACTAAACTGCAAAACATGATCAATAATGAATTGAATAGTGTATTGCTACTAAGATCAATTTAAATAATTTAAACAGTTATTTTCAACTGAAAGATAAAATTCTCAACAAAATATGAAATTAATAAAAAATAACTATAATTGTCAAATAGACTAACATATAGACTGATTATAATTTCTTGATGTTAAAATTTCTTGATGGGATGAGATGCAGCTAATAAATACAAGTCCTCTCTTATTAAAATTCTTTCAAAAAATATACAGTTAAGTGTTATTATAGATATTGATTTGGAGGCATACAATAGAATACACAAGTTTTCCTAAAAGATTTTATTTTTGAAAATCTGGTAATAAACAAACAAAATGTTATTTTTATTACTATATTATAATCAACTTTAATAATTAACTTGATATAAGAGATTTTCAAGGATCAACCCAAGTATATTTTTCAGATGAACCTATTTTGTTTAATAAGTTCTGGTCACTCACAATTTTATCATATAACTTATCACATTGTAAGTCATAATTTTGCTTTATAATTAGAATTACTTTCATGTCTTCAATATCTTGAGTATATTTTGATCACAAGAATTTGAGTGAAAATATTTTTTCTACAAAAGCTGTAGTTCCTGAAAAACAAAGGACTAATTCTATCAAATTATTAAAATATTAGAATTATTTTCATGCACTTCATTAAATATTTTGACTCATCTGTCAACAGCATCAAGTTTTCATTCATTCCATTTCCCCAATTTTTTGGATATTATTGAATTTATTAGGATCTATTGATGAAATAATCAAATTTCATCTGTTTCTGTTCATGCAATATATTCCTTAAATTCATTGAAACTATTCTTATTTTGTGCTATTCAGGCTTTTTCCTCAGTAGTATCCATTCAAATATATGACTCTTATCAACACAAAATAAGCATTTTCTAACAAATCATGAGTTCATAATACAATATACAAACTAGTAAGCTAAGTGTGTGTGTTTCAAAAACAGGACAAAAATGAAAATTTTATTAAAATAGTGAGATGGCTGCTGGGACAGAGCAGAAAACAGTACTGTCTCATTCAAAATGGCACACATGGTCAGTGTACTAATATAATTCTCATAATAAATAAAAAATATCAAAATTAATAAAGTTAATGTTTTACCAACTAAAAACCATATAAAAGCAAACATCTAAATTAAAATATGATTGTAGAATATGAAAAATAAATAAAGAAATATTATTAAATTTAATTGCAATTGAAAAACTGTCCAGAAAAAATAAATAAATAATCAATAATTCAGGTAATATCCCCCTGTAACAAGGCTTGCCTTTAATACTAATAATGAATTTAATTAATAATATAATTCAGGTAATATAAATAAATGTTTTTTAATAAAAACATTTATTTATATTACCTGAATTAAAAACGTTTTTAACTGAAAAACATTAAAAAATTTTTTAATGTATTTCAATTTTTTTTCAAAAAACTTTTCCTTTTATGACACCAAACTGATTTGTCATTCACATTCACAGGCACAAATTTGGTAGTATATTTACTACAAAAATGTTTTTATTTGACAATCAAAACAGAAAACTTTTATCACATTTTAACTCCTTTATAGTTTATTCTATAATGCCCAATCAACGCCCAATTATTCTCATTCCTGACACCCACTAATTAGTTATAATAACTACCTACTACAGGAATAATATTATCTCTTATATCTGGCAAAACACGACATACAACACTATACAAGTTATCACATAGATGATGCCTGTTGTTTGATTGCCAAATACGAGATAATTCATAGTTGGGAGTCAAATGTTAAGAGATTTTCTCAAATTATCTATTTATAAAAGAAATACAGTAAGCATGTAAATACAGTAAATACAAAGTAATTTCTACATTTAATAAAACTCTAAGATTACTTACAATTGCAGGTGGACATGTTAAAGGATTTTGATCAACTACTAGAATCTGTAGAGAAATCATAAGACGTAAAGAAGTCGGCAAAATTGCTATTCTATTTGCAGAAATGTTTAAATATGCCAATTGAAGCTCACATAATTCTAAAAAGTAAATGAAATTAATGATAAATAGGATAAAATGTTATCCAATCAGAAATTATAATATTAAAATGGAAAAAATTATTTATTCTNGTTTTTAACTGAAAAACATTAAAAAATTTTTTAATGTATTTCAATTTTTTTTCAAAAAACTTTTCCTTTTATGACACCAAACTGATTTGTCATTCACATTCACAGGCACAAATTTGGTAGTATATTTACTACAAAAATGTTTTTATTTGACAATCAAAACAGAAAACTTTTATCACATTTTAACTCCTTTATAGTTTATTCTATAATGCCCAATCAACGCCCAATTATTCTCATTCCTGACACCCACTAATTAGTTATAATAACTACCTACTACAGGAATAATATTATCTCTTATATCTGGCAAAACACGACATACAACACTATACAAGTTATCACATAGATGATGCCTGTTGTTTGATTGCCAAATACGAGATAATTCATAGTTGGGAGTCAAATGTTAAGAGATTTTCTCAAATTATCTATTTATAAAAGAAATACAGTAAGCATGTAAATACAGTAAATACAAAGTAATTTCTACATTTAATAAAACTCTAAGATTACTTACAATTGCAGGTGGACATGTTAAAGGATTTTGATCAACTACTAGAATCTGTAGAGAAATCATAAGACGTAAAGAAGTCGGCAAAATTGCTATTCTATTTGCAGAAATGTTTAAATATGCCAATTGAAGCTCACATAATTCTAAAAAGTAAATGAAATTAATGATAAATAGGATAAAATGTTATCCAATCAGAAATTATAATATTAAAATGGAAAAAATTATTTATTCTCTATATTATTAAATATTCATATTTTATAAATTAAGTAATAACTCTTATGCAAGTATTTTTTAAAGTTTTGCACTTTTTAAATAAAACAAAATATATAAATTTATTTAAAAAAATGGTTTGATTATATTTAAACACATTTTATAATATAAATTGAATATAAATCTATTACCATTCGATTTATATTCGAATGTTAACTGCCACCTTGTTTTCAATAAAAAAGAAGCCTGAAGAAGAGCCCAGAAGAGGTTACAAAAACGTTCACAAATGTTAAATGTAATAACACTGATTAATTGGTTAATGTGAGTCACACTTTTTATATAAAATAAGCAATTATTTATTGTGAAATTGTCACACTGCCGGATGCAATTTTTAATCATATTTTTTAAATTTATTTAATTTAAAATGTATACTCTCCATCTGAAATTAGTAGTGTCTTGTCTGTCCAAGTACATCATACTTTTCTTGTTAGCAATATAGTCATGCCAATCATCTAACTACTCCTTTCAGGGGAAAATTTTTGAATTGAAATAACATGACTTCAGATTTGCACTGAAAGTTCATAAATAGTTAATCAGGGCCTCCTATTCCTAATCTTTCCATATATGATCTTAGCTTTCATCTATATAATTCGATTCTCAAGATTAAGGAAGGACAGACAACCAGATGGACAACAGTGGAAATTTATAGATCTACAATTTTTCCAAATGAATTATTGTAATTGAAAAGTTTAAATAATTATCAGACAAACTTCTTATACTTATTGTAAATTAAATGCTTTTGAAATTATGATTTATGTATTTTGATATAAAACTGTAAGAAAACAAAGTATAAAAAAAATAAACATGTATTATTTAAATCCCCTCTCTTTTAAAATCATTACTTTAATGAACTATTCACATTTTTAATCATAATACAATGAATGAACTCTACATGTTTTCTTTAATATCCATCTTTATCATCAAATTTTCCTCCAAATCTTTAACACTTTAAATTATGGAATTGAGTTATAAAATTTACAATTATTTCAAATATAAATAAATCTGAAATTGTAATCATACATACAAAATTTTAAAAATTAAAAATTACCTGATGGCAATTTTGTTATTAAGTTTCTTCTCATATTTAAGGTGCAGAGAGAATGAAGATCTCCAATTTGAGGTGGTATATTAGAGATTTCATTGCAGCTGATATCCTGAAAACATTTTTAAGTTTTATTTATAATTTTATGAATTATTTTGATATTTGTAGAAATATATGAATTATCATTAATATCTTACTAAATCCATCAAGCATTGCATATGACCAATCTCCTCAGGTAGTGCAACTAGTTTGTTATTACTCAATATGAGCACTTGTAATGGTAACTGACATAGCACAGGTGATACAGATGTTAACTGATTACGACTGCAAAAAAAGTGTGTAATCAACAAAAAACTGAATTTTATTCTGTTTAAATATCATTTCATATTAGAAAAAATTGCTTTACTGGACTTAGAGACTTAGTAAAAATCCAAAATCTGAGTTTATGCTCTAACAAAATTTTTCTATAATTTTTTACTCTCATGGAGTCTTTTATAAATTATTTGATAATTTTCTAAAATTTCATCTAAAACTGAGTTTAAAATTAAAAACTTATATAAATTAAAATATTATTTATTTAAAATTTAAATACCATTTATTTCATTTGTTTTATATGCCTAAAGCATATAAAGCAAACAAGATACAGTGGGTGATCGGCTAATGAACATAATCCGTTCCAAGACTTTCTTCGCTATCCGAATTGTTTGTTAACTGATTATCAATTTACCATACATTTGTATGGGAATTTGATTAATTTGTTCTGGAGACCCCAGAAAATAAAAAATATATACTTTCTTACTACATTCATTTATATGTAATAATAAAAATACATATATATGCAGTCTTGCATTTTTATTAGTTATGTTTTTTTGTTTGTGGGGTTAAAGAATCTGTCTAATGTCAATTGCTTTTCTCTCTTCTTCAGGATTTTCATAAGTAATTAATAGCATTGTAATTGTAGAGATCCCTAAGCCTATTAACCTCAACCTGGTTTGTATGCCATTCTAAGACCGTTGATCTGATATCCCACACTTCTTCTAAAGATCTTTAATTAATAGCAGATATCAGTATTAATCCTCTTTTTCATAATAAAGCATATCTTGCTGAATTTCTTGGTATTCTTCATTCAAGAGTTCTTGGTATTCTTCTGTCGTCAGATCCATTTCAGGTTCCATTATAAGCTCTTCAATGTTCGTTATTTCTCAGAAGTGATTTTTGTTACTCCTTTAGCTGCTTGAGTCTTCTTGATTATACTGTATCTTTCTTAGATAAGACTGAACTGTACCCTACTGTAGTTTTGTTCAAGCCATACTGCCCAGCAACATCAGACATCTTCTGCCCACTCTCTACCTTTGCTATTTTACCTTTCGAAAATAAAACTCGACGCAAAACTTAACGCGTGCCCACTTGACAGTCTCGCAAATACTATAAAAGAATTGTATCTGTCAGAAAAATAAAAGACTGGAATTACAAGGGAGAGTTTCAAAGTTCAGAGGAATACTATCTGATCAGTATATTATACGATTGAGTGTCGATGTCGATGTCTCCAAAGCTCCAAAAAACTTCAAATTGTTGCCTGAAGACAAGGGGAAATCAATCAGTATTTGCTATTTCCGTCACTTCTTTTTATGTTTGTTCAGTGAAGTGTTCATTGTCCAATCATAAAAATCTTTCGTAAAAGTGTTCGTTATCCGATTTGTTCATTAACCGATCACCCACTGTATATGATAATTAAATTTTAGAAATAGGAAAACATATGATTTATTCATTGAAAATATATCTGGTAAAAATTTTAAAAATTTCATACTGGCATTGTATTGTCATATGTACTGATATGAGAACATTTTAAATATAGTCACCTTCAAACAACAGTCCACATGCAATAACACACTTCTGCCAACACTTGTACAACTGTTCACAAGATTTCTGAAACTCATTTTTGGCAACCTGCTTCATAGCATCTTCTTCACAGAAATGTTACCCTTTTCATAGTGCTTTTATCTTCAGGAAGAGGTAAAAATCATAAGATGTAAAGTCAAGCAAATATGTAACAGTGTGAATGCAATGTTGTGCCTGTTTTAGCAAGATAATTTTGAACAAAAAGTGAATGGTGCATCTGAGCATTGTTTTGAAGGAGATCCATCCTTAGTTGCTCAATATTCTGGGCACTTTATGAAAATTACTTCTCAAACTCCACACACTTGCAGACAGTGCTTCTTGCTGACCACAGCACTGTACAAAAAGAACTGGTAGTGAACAATGCCTTTCCAGATGAAAACACCTCGATATTTCCTTACCTTGTGCATAGTTCAATCATAGTTCAATCTCAAAAATAATGGAATCTCCCATGTAAATGATTACATTTAGTTTGAGAATCATAAAGAACACACCATGTTTCATCTCCAGTAATCAATTTATGCAAAAAACATCATATTCTTGTCAATTGCATCAAGAAGATTATCATTGACACTCACTTGTTCTTAACACTGGTCCACATTGAGATTTCAAGAAAAAATATGTTGACACACACTGTATGTATTGAAATCATCTGTTACAACAGAATGACAAGATCAAAATTCCAACTTTCTCTGCTATCTGTTCAACTGTTTATCAATTTGTTACAACAATTTCCCACATAGATTTCAATTCTCCACATTTTAAAATGTTGTTGGCTACCAAAACAATAGTAGTCTTCAAGCAATACTCAGACTTCTTGAAATCTCTAAAACACTTTTAATTAAATTAGCACATTTTCCTAATGAATTTTATCATTTCTAAGGTTTCAGTAGTAAATTTACCTAAATGTGACAGAATTTAACATTAGTTCATTAAAATATGATATCTTTTCACTTCAGTGCTTGCATGAAAATCACTTACTCCTGGTATCTGTCACAAGATTTATATGATCATGTGATAAACGATTCCATTTTTAAAGTAAAAGAGAGATGTTCATTAAACATGCTAGAATTTGTAGGTAAGACTTTAGTCTTATTTAATTGTTTAAAAAACAAACAGCCCTAGAACTTTTTGAATCTACCATTTATTTTAATTTCAATGATTTAAATAAATGTTTAAGTAATATTAAATGTATACAACGTTTTGCCAATAAAGAATTATTTGTACACTGTAGGCTAAGTACAGTGTATAATTTTTTTTCTCTTGGACAGATTTTTACTGTGTAATTTTTTGTAAGTATTTAACCAATCACCTACTGTATTATTTATTTTTTCAGCTATAAAAATCTCGTTTTCATTGAATCTTGTTTTAATATTGCATTATGATGGCAATTTGCTATCCTCTTCACAAGGGATGGGAAATATATTCAAAATTGTTACAGATTTATGATCTAAGCAACTAATAAAAATTGATATAGAGATTTGTCTGCTTTGCAGTTATCAAGTAGGTGTAACTTTTCAAACATTTTTGCTTTCTTCAGTAACTGATTTATTAAAAATTACACCTTATCCACCACAAAGCTGTTAAAATGGTTACGACAATGACAACAGCGTTGGTTTGGTGAAATTCAAAGGTTGTACAAAGACGATTTGCCAACTACTTTAAAGTTGGGAAGATATTTGGTTTTCTTGCATTTATGATCTTAAATTTCTTTTTTGTTACTATTATATTATGGTTCTTGTCAAATAAATGAATAACTTCGGAAAAGTTTATAGTATTTTGGTATCATAAACTTAATTCCAACAATAAGATAGAAGTTTAATAATATTAATATGTATGACAATAAATGGTGATAGAGAAGTTTAATCTGGTTAAGTTGTCAAACAGATAAAGAATATTGCTTGACTTCTTATTATCTGCCCTCCTCCGCTATTCATATTTTCAGCCAGTCTTTATTTGATACCTACGATCAAAATTTATAATTTGAAAAAGTACTGTATTCGAACCAAGTCTTTGTTTTCATTTTAAAATATTTTGTACATAATTCCTTCTTTCAGAATATTGAAGTAGAAACATTGTGTTTTCATAAGGTAAGTTATGGATGATGGCGTCCTATTTGAAGGGTCTGGGGGTTGTAAAAATGTCCGTTAAGTAGAGGTGTCCACTATTCAGGGATGTCCATTAATGGAAGTTTCACTGTAATAATTTCTGTTCTTTTCTGAAAAAGTTATTATTAATGAATATAAAATTAATAATAATAATTTTTTTTACCTGAGATCTAAATATGTTAGAGAATGTAAAGTGATCACAGAATCTGGGATGGAACGAATTGTATTATGATAGCAATCCAGCCTCTCTAGCAAATAAAATTCACAAATCTCGGACGGAACTTCACTAAACCTGTTCTTTGATAAGTCTAAAAATTATAACAAAAAAAATTATTACTAAAAGAGCAGAATATCCCAAAATAATGTTGAAAATAAAAGCTACATCCACAATTTGTGAGTTAACTAATGTGAACTAATCAGATGAGAACAAGATTTATTTGCTGTTTTGGAAGTACTTTATTGTCAATATTACATCAAATATGCATTTTGGAACATTAGATAAGGACAAGATGAATTTCATGTAATGAGACAGGCATCTTGTCCTCGTCTGAGTAATCTACATTAACTAACTCACCAATAGTGGATGTAGCTTTTATTTTCAAAATGATTATTAATTAATAAATTTATATAACTATTCTTTAATATAGTTAAATGGTAAACTATATTTCATTATTTTTAGTGTCAAAAAGATAACATAAAATGTATTCATTATCATCATCAATTTGTAAGTATCAATACTGATAGTCACAAAAAATTTTTTATTTGAAAGATGTCATCAATTTATCTTTTTTAGAAGGACAATTATAAAATTACAAATATAATTTACAACTAGTAAAGTAAGTTACATCAAGAAACTGGAAACAATGTTTCTCGATGTAGTTAGCCTGGGCAAGCATTTTGAGCAGTAATATGTCTATGTCACAAATAAAAGATTATAAGCAATTTATTGTTGATAAAAGAAAAAAAATATGATGAAAAGTACTAATAAAAAAGAAAAGTGTAGTACCAAAAAAATTAAATTAAACTAAACTAAACTTAACTAAACGAAACTAAACAAATAAACTAAACTAAAAAATAAAAGAATAATAAAATAAAATCAGTTGGCATTTAAGCAGGAAAGTCTTGGATAAATTGGAGTCGTTTGTTAAAAGCAGGCATGTTTGAGATTTTTCCAGTCTGGACTGAGGGAACTGCATCTGAAACAACATTGATGAGTCGCTTGACACGACTAAAAAACATATATTTTAAATAGTTACATAAAAGTTGAAAATTTCAAATGAGATGAGAGGAATAAGTTGAGCTGGTCCAATCCGGANTACCAAAAAAATTAAATTAAACTAAACTAAACTTAACTAAACGAAACTAAACAAATAAACTAAACTAAAAAATAAAATTATAAAATAAAAAATTATTTTACATTTAAGTGGGAAAAGTCTTCAATAAATTGGAGTCTCTTGTTAAAAGCAGCAGTGTTTGAGATTTTGTCCATTCTCAACTGAAGGAACTGTCTCCCCCTCAATCTTCAACAATCCTGCACAGGTCCAATCTTGTGCTCCAGTTACAGAAGGTTCCAGAACAATGTCACTACCACAAATTGCTAGCAAGATATTCCAGAAAGTTCCAGAATATTTTAATTGGAGAAAACTGTGGGAAATTTCCCCTTTATTAAAGCTTGTGAAAAATGCCGTCTACTGGGGATGAGACAGTACTACTGCCACTACAGCCACTGTAACAGCGAGAGAAGTGCAGCATGTGGGGCCACCCATAGGACGTAAACCTGGTTCCTTTTTCTTGAATTTGAATAACTTTTCCATAGTTTAATCTAAATTCACCAAACTAGGCAAAAATATAAAGCAACTCTCTGGTTTTATATTTCAAAAAACAGTACTAAAAGTATCAAAATACTTTTTTGTTATTACTTATATATATATTATACTGCTCACTTACTGCTTGCCCAGGCAATAATATTGTTTATAAATTATAATTTAACTTATATTATAATTTATAAATTTGTTGCCAAATAGTAAATTTGCAATTGGATATCTCCATCAAGAGATAAACATAAACAACGAGAATCTGACTGCTACTAAAAATTTGATACTGAAAGTGAGATATAATTATGAAAATCATTAATAAACTAATCTTAAGATTTTGCCCAATCTTGAACCTTTAGAAATAATGATGCATTATTAATGGAATAAGAGGAAGGAAACAGATATTAATATCAACATTTTGAGGACATTAAAGTAAAAAAATATACTGTATTTAGCTATAACTTCCTTGTTAGATAAAATTTTCAATTAATTTGTATATGACCTAGTTAATGTCAAAATACATTGTCTTAAGTGAACAACTAGGATTGAAATATACAATAAATGTAATTAATAATCTTTTTACAAGTAGTTTAAAAATTTTGCAACTTTAAAAATGATGAAATCTTTTGAAATAAGATCATCTTGATATTGTTTTTCTTACCAAACAATCTGCCAGAATTTTATTGCGCTTTATTAATGCTAACTAATAATCTGAAACAATGCAATTTGGTCAGAGGTAGGCAATTAACCATCACTATCTCATAATAAGTTTAATAATTATAAATAAATAATTTAGCAAGAGATGGTTCCTAATGCCTACCTTTAGTATCAAATTACTTAGCAATTACTTATTAGTAGTAGTAATATAACCTGATATAATCCAGCAATCGTTTAGCTTTAATATATAACTATAGTGTTTTAGACATTTGATGTGTACTGTTTATTTTGTAAATAATTATTGCTGTGGAGTAAATATTTTTATTTATGATATTTTCTTTGATTGTAAGAAAATGAAAACAGTCGACATGTTAAAAGTATGTTTAAGTTAAAGAATTATTTCTGCTTATAATTGTCTATAGATTCAATTATTCTTACTTAAATTGGTTAGGTAGTGTAAACTACAGAAGTAAATTTCATAGAGTTGAAGAGTTTGTTTGGCAATACAGTTGTCCCTTGATAATCCGACAGGTATGNGCATGATAAGTAGAAGTTACTAATTCTTGTTCAGAGCTAATTATTTTCTTCCAGAGTATTCTAAATTAAAATTAACAATTAATTTATTATACAGACCGTGATATAATTAATGTATCAAGTTATAAATTATCAGGGCCTATATACTGTTTTTCTTATAAACACAAATTACACTCTTATTGCAATTTTTTATAATTGATTAAAAAGTAATTGAATAAATATATAGATGAAAATATTTACTGTATATACAAAAATATTAGCAACACTATAAAACAATCAAATCTAAATAATTACTTATTTAATCACATATTTTAATGCATAATGTATTAAAGATCTTATAACTTAATTTTTTAAAACATTGATTTTCCTAGTAATATCATTTTTATAAATATATTTCATTTGAAAAGTTAGATATATTAAAAAATAAGTTAATTATGAGATGTTTATAAGTTAACATACAAATGTTCAATTAAAAAATGGTTTGTTTAATTTGAAAATGAAAAAATATATAATACAGTATTATAATTTATGTATTAAATTCATTTAAAATGAAATGTTAACATAAAATGTGAGACATTCTAAAAGCTAAGACAAAATTTATTTATTTATTAAAAAATATTAATTTTTAATTTTAATTCTTCAATTACAATAATTCTTGAGTTATTGAACTGACACAAAAATAGTTTATAGTATAAGTTATTTATGATAAAAGCAAAAACAATTGTAGTAACATATAAAATATAAATTAATAGATATACAGTATCTTTCTAATTGTGAATTTGTTTAGATAATTTTGTAATATTTTGTAATAAAAAAAAATACATTGTCTTTATCCATACTGTTACTAGGTTTATAATCTTTGAACTTCTGAATGGTATATAGATCATTTACCAAATTAACTTCAATAATGCTGTTAGGAAAAATATATCCTTGGAAACAGATTTAAGTCATCCTAGTAATACTTTATCTTTGCTTTTGTATAACCTTGGCATTAATTTTCTATTATTAATGAAATATATTTATCTGAATTTATTACAAATGTTTAATTATGATATTCAAACAAATACAAAAATTCCCATCTATGCATTAACCATTAAATATTATAACATGTACAAAAATCCCATCTGTATGTTAATATTAACATTAAAAATAAAAATTAACAATAACATTTTGTATTTGTTTACATTATTTTAAAAGATAATATATTTAACTGTTAATGCATAGATGGGAATTTTTGTATTTGTTCGAATATCATAATTAAACATTTGTAATAAATTCAGATAAATATATTTCATTAATAATAGAAAATTAATGCCAAGGTTATACAAAAGCAAAGATAACGTATTACTAGGATGACTTAAATCTGTTTCCAAAGATATATTATATGTTTATATTACATATATATAATACTAGCTTTTGCCCGCGGCTTCGCTGGCGTTAAGAAGTATTATTATTAATTAGGTATAGTTTTTGCGGCTTTACTTTTGTTTAGCGTGTGTAAAAAATTAGGGCCTACAAAACTTCTTTGTACACAATATTCTTAACTAATCTGTCATTAGGCGCTAAAACTATCAAGCTATTGGGTGAACTTACTCGTGAGCAAGCAACATAAAACTGTCCATGAGAGAACATTCTTCAACTTCTCCATTAACGTTCAGATTTTCTTTATCCATTTTAAAAAAGTCTAACCGACAAAACTAATACTTAAACCAAACGAAAACAAAACGAATGCCAAATACAAAGCAGAGTCTATAACCAAAACTACTAAACCGAAACAAAGCAAATGCAATGCAAAATATGCCAAGAAAAAAACAGCCAAAATCGTCAAATATAATCCGCTAAAAATAATTAGGTATAGTATGTACTATTAGATACGGCGGCCACTCATCATCGGGTATATGTAACTCA